CGACAGCAAGAAAACTGGGATGGGAAATTATGAAAATCCCATTGTAGTGAATGGAGAAGAGCCACCACAGACCCAACTAAAATGGCTTCCAATTGCCCCAAATCCATTGTATTGTGCGCCACCTCCAGTTCTATTTCTTAGCTCAGTGGGCGTGTACGTTATGCTTCCTAGGTGCATTCTTTCTTCTGAACTAGTCGAGATGATTCGGGGAACTTTACATATGCCTTATTTTCCACATCCGCCCTGATATTGGTCATGAAACTCGATACAGTCCTCCAATCGGTTTAATCGTCCTTTGAAATGGATCGTGAGAGACAGCGTTTTCCTGCGATTGACCTAACTTGACACATCGTGTAAGTGTTTGGACGGCCAAGGATTCATCCTTAGGCCTAATTAAGTAAGTCGAGGATTGAGTTTGTTTGAACGAATGAAGGTAGGCCTAGGCCCGACCCAATGCCAGTCGGTCATTTACGCTTAGACCTAGCGTTAGTCAAGGGTCATAGAGAAACATGTTTTCCACATGGGGGTATAGTTCGCTGTGTCACCACCCCCCTACTCCTTCACCACCTCGGTCCGATATGTCACCACCCTTGTAATACTTATTGAGATCACTCCTCCCTTAATGTACTGGATTTCATCAAGTTAAAGGATCCAGGCCATAACTCGATGCTGTATGCGTTCCTCTCTTGTTCCTACGGGAGTCGCCATAAGCCGGGACGTCACCACCCCCCTACACCCTCCCATCTTTGGTCCGCTGTCACCACCCATCCTTCGTTCATGTATTTCATCAACGTAAAGGATCTGGATCTATGTGGTTCTTGATACGATGCCGTTCACGTTCCACTCCCAGTTCTTCCGGGAGTGGCCATATGCCAGTCGGGAACAGTGTTGCCAGATGCATATCTTCTCTCTGCCCAGCTGAGTGAGTCTCTTTGTGTCGTTTACATCCCATGTGACTGCATTTCATTATGTTTGTCAAATGGGGCATGTCTTCTTCGATGCGTCTCTGCGTATTTCCAGATTGCTGAGTGTCATGTAATGAATGTCGCGTGATAGTCAGAAGTCAGTGATATAATAAAATTCATGAGGAAAGTAGAAATCCAACGAAATAAAAAAAAAAGGAAAGAATGTCAATGTCAATGGGCATGAGAACAAAACGAATAGCAAGAAGGTGCTATTTTTGTGGGTAGACGGAGCACGGATACATCCACAAGACCGTGAATCACCAGCAGCACTCTGTGGATCCCGTGACTGGCTGCAACACCCAAATGATCGAAAGTCACTGGGTTTCCATCAAGGCCCGCATACAAACTCGCGGGGGCGGAACAACATCCAAGATGCTGCAATTGCATCTCATCGAAGCCTGGTGTCGTTCTGTCCATGACGCTCCAAGACCATTCCTTGCCTTTCTTGACGCCATAAAGTCCGTCTACCCACAAAAATAGCTCCTTCATGCTATTCTTTTTGTTGTCTTGAGGGCAGTATAGTATAGATAGACGGTAGATGATCCAGTATGGTGGAAGGAATTCCAGGTTGCCTAGCCTATACCCATTGTGCACCAAGCACATATGCTTTTCCTTACTAGTTCTCTTAAGTCTGGATTGGGCATGTGATTTAGTTCCTGAACATCATATAGCCTGGCTTGCAAGGCCTGGAAAAAAGTAAAATTCCTACTAATGTTGCAGTAAGCATAGTGCTGCTTGATTTGTAATCAGTAAAGACCCATGCAAGGAAAAACTGAAGCATGGCTTATTGAATTGTAGGGAAACAAGACAAATATTGTTGATATCCACTGATTAGGCCTATTGAGAACTATGATGGAGTTCAATTAAAATGCAAGTGAAATTCAAGTCTGAAAATGAGGTGAAGCAAATAATTTTTTGGTCTTGTTTTATAGCACAAAAATGGCATGCCTGAGGGGTGGTTGGAAAATAACATGACAAGACCTGTAGTTGTGAATGCAATTTATTTTAGAACTTGTCACACATGTGCCTCGTACCTTGAAATATGCTCTGGATGTGTTCCTGAATCTCTGCACCAGTCACAGTCTTTTCACCCTGAATAATCAAATGTCTAATTGACTCATAAACAATAAGAAACCTGCCACCATTGCCTTAGATAATAGATAATCTGGATAATCCCTGAACATGAAGGTATAAAAAATTATGAATGTTGTTCAAGGCAAGGAAATCTGAAAGTTGTTCAAAGACTTGTACTGATGATCTTTACTGGAAGCTAAATTCTTTGCCTAAGAGGTGGCACCTGCAAGCTGCATCCAAAAGCTTTCAACGAAACATTTGTGTTATGAGGCCTGCTTTACTTCCCATCTACATTTCATGCTTTCAGTAGCTACTTGTAATTTGTGAAACTCCTTCATGATAGATGCTGCAAGAGTATGGAAGAATTATACAGGCAAGAAACTGCTTGAAACAGGCATTGAGAAATAATCTCTTGGGTAACTAGGAGTTACTTCAACAGTACCTAAACCCCCCCCCCGGCAAATGAGCAAATGAATGTCATGTCACCCAGGTTTGAGAAACTCAACCTTTGTGAACTGCTGCAAAATAAATTTCACCAATTATTTAGTAAATGTTGCCTACCAAAAACTACCAAATTGCAGCTTGTCTTTGACTAGAGCTTGTCCAAGTTTTTCTTTAATCCTTTTCTGATCCATGGCTCAATTGGACATGGAGCCCTATATACTGTGTCATTATTTCATGCATATTTTACCCAATATTTTTTTCATCAAGGCAATTTTCCTGAGGGGAGAGATTCCCAAACCATGTATACTTAATGGTAACTGTGCCAACCAATTAGTCGTCCAAGTAAAGTTAATATTCATGGCTCATTCATAAGATTCATGGCTTATTTGCTTATTTAGTGAGATTGTTTTCTTGTTAAAAGAAACCAGATAATTGGATTGTAGCATTGAAATGGTTAATGCCACTGATTTAAAGGAGAGGAGGCATGCTATCCATCACCCCTACTATGCTAAATGAGTTCTTTTCTTTTGCTTTCAGATGTCTCTCCAGATATTCTTCAGTTGTGCTTACCAGTAGCTGTTGGAGAGTCAGAAGAAATTCTATGGGCTCCAACACCATCACTGTGAGTTATTTCTCATTTCATTTTAGCTAGTATTCTAGTTCCTTTGTCTATTAGTATAATTGTGTTAACATTTTATATTATCTGGGATGAGACTTGATCCTGCTCCTGTGGCTGTTGAAGCTGGTGAATTATGGGGCTAGCCAACCTGGCAAGTGTGGGTGGAAGGGATGCGTTTTCTCCCTGAAAGTGCAGTGGAAGCTGTTGCTGTCTTAATGGCTATATATTTCATTTTTGGAATTGAATATCAGAAGTTAGCTGATGGAAAGAGCAAAGCTTCCACACTTTTTGTTGTCGTTGAAAGACTTTGTGGGATCAACCACACAAAAATTTTGCCAAAGAAGCGAATTATCCAAAATATAATAAAAAACTGTAAGTTATAGGTGGTGATCCTCTTGCTCTTGAAGTTCAGAGTTACTGTGAAGTAAAATAGCTGTTCAAGAAATGAAAAAAGTCTTGGTTCATTTTTTTTGAAATACTAAAAGGTCAATATTTTCCTGGTAATTTCCAGGTTATCAGCAATATTTTGTTTTTTTTTCTTCTGTTTTGCAATGTATTTTTAGTGCTAGCTGAGTTTTTGTGGATACTGAAATTACTTCCCTTCCATTATGATCCCTGGATCAGCATCAAGAAATGAAGATAATCCATGAAGTCAGACTTTCTTGGTTTTCCTGCTAATANTTAAAAGAAACCAGATACTTGGATTGTAGCATTGAAATGGTTAATGCCACTGATTTAAAGGAGAGGAGGCATGCTATCCGTCACCCCTACTATGCTAAATGAGTTCATTTCTTTTGCTTTCAGATGTTTCTCCAGATATTCTTCAGTTGTGCTTACCAGTAGCTGTTGGAGAGTCAGAAGAGCTTCTATGGGCCTCCAACGCCACCACTGTGAGTTAATTCTCATTTCATTTTAGCCAGTATTCTAGTTCCTTTGTCTTTTATTATAATAGTATGAACATTTTATATTATCAGGGAAGAAACTTGATCCTGCTCCTGTGGCTGTTTACACTGGTGAATGATGGGGCAAGCCAACCTGGCATCTGTGGGTGGAAAGGATGCGTTTTCTCACTGAAAGTGCCGTGGAAGCTGTTGCTGTCTTAATGGCTATATATTTCATTTTTGGAATTGAATATCGGAAGTTAGCTGAAGGAAAGAGCAAAGCTTCCACACTTTTTGTTTTCATTTAAAGACTTTGTGGGATTAACCACACAAAAATTTTGCCAAAGAAGCGAATTATCCAAGATATAATAAAACACTGTAAGTTATAGGTGGTGATCCTCTTGCTCTTGAAGTTCAGAGTTACTGTGAAGTAAATAGCTGTTCAAGAAATGAAAAAAAAAGGCTTTGTTCATTTATTTTTTGAAATGCTAAAAGGTCAATATTTTCCTGGTAATTTCCAGGTTATCAGCAATATTTTGTTGTTTTTCTTCAGTTGTGCAAGGTATTTTTAGTGCTAGCTGAGTTTTTGTGGATACTGAAATTACTTCCCTTCCATTATGATCCCTGGATCAGCATCAAGAAATGAAGATAATCCATGAAGTCAGACTTTCTTGGTTTTCCTGCTAATAGTGTTTTCCTACATGGAAAGAAATTATTTATTCCTTTGGCTGTATCCCACAAAACCATTTAGAGTGCTTCTTAATCTAAGTTATCCAAGGTTCTCCTTATAATAAATGTCAGGGAATCTACCCCATATGTCTACATTCTTTCTCAACACCTGTGCTACCGAGTACATGAAATTACCTCTTTTACCTTTGCCCCTTCTTGATAGTGAAAAGAGGAAGATACATGACACCATTTGAAGGTACCAGGTCCATCAATAAGTTCTCAGCCCTAATATAAAAGAAGCGCACACATATTTTACTATCAATATTTAAAGCAATAAAAATCATGCTCAATGACCCACTGGAAACGATCATGGAACATTCTGGTACTGGTTTTAAGCATGATTTTCATTACATTAAATGTTGATAATGAAATAAAATATTTGCGTTTTTCTTTTGTGGATGAGGCTGAGAACTGACAGACCTCTGGTAAGACAACAAGGTAAAATGCCGGTGAAGTACCACTCTAAAAGCCACTTGCCTTGCCTTGTTATATTGCCTTCAAATGGCGCCTGTTTTAGATGCATTCCCCAGGCATGCTAAGGTAAGCGATGGATATGACTTTGAAATGAACTCGTGTCGGTGGGCTTGGAGAAAAGACGAAGTCACATATCGATGTGATGTACGTAAGAAAAAAAGGTAAAGTAACAGTAAGTTACTGCACCAAAAACCACCATCATTATCTTGTTACATTGCCTTCAAATGCTCCCTGTATAGATGCCATCTCCAAGCATGGTAAGGTTACCGCACACTCAGGAGAAGAGCAGTGAGACAAAGAAGGAATGGTGAAGTTACTAGTCCAAAAACCATCCTCAGGGCTTGGTTACATGATCATCCTAGGATGGTAATATCACTAGTATTTGAGGGTGATTTTTGGATTGGTAGATTCACCTTTTTTTCCTTGTTTCCTTACCGTACACGTGCTGTGTGTCTACTTAGAATGAGCCTCAAATGGTGTTTCTACCAAGAGGTTAGTAAGGTTACCATTTTGAACTTTAATCAGTTGCATCTCAAGAATCTGTGAACAGTCGGAAAGGAATTTACCGTGTCAAAGGTAATATGACCAATATGACCAATGGCGACTCTACCACGCAGCACTTCAGAAGACGGTAATAGTACCTAATTGAAAAGAAAAACAACAGCACGCATGGTTACATTATTGTGATGTCTTGGTAACCAGACCGACATGTGCTATGTGTGTAAGGAAGTTAAAGGTGGGTAAGGCGACAGGCCCCGATGTGATTCCTGGAAGAGTTATTAATTAAACCGCGAGAGAAATATCTGTTCCGCTAAGAATTATATTCGGTAGCAGCTTTTCGCGTGGGGAAGTACCTAAGGACTGGAGACGAGCAAACATTGTACCGATCTTTAAGAAGGGCGAAAAGAGTAATCCAGGAAATTACAGGCGGTAATTCTCACGAGTATCCCAGGGAAGGTCATGGAGATCGTACTAAGGGACCATCTCTTGGATTTC